TCCCAGTCGCTACTCGCCAAAGTAGTAGGTGGAACAATGTTTTGTATAGTATGTTATGCCAGTTGAGTTTGATGTCCCCCTGCAGCGCTTTTAAACGATACTGATGTCTGGGTACTACCCCTGGAGTTCAGATATAATTGACTTAGGCTGAATGAGAACCTTGGGCTAGAACATGGGATATAAGTAGAGGGAAGGAAGGTGTGATAGGGAATCTTGACTGCCAAGCAGAGGAATCTGTGTAATTCGTAAGATAATAAAGAGGTATTGGATGTTTATGAGAGGACAATTCATATGATTAGAGGTGTGCTCAAGGAAGGGCTGTTTAACAACAATAATGTACAGTGTTAAATCAGTATAGCACTGATTAAAGTGTAGGCTTTCGGTAAGTGAGACCAATTAGGAGATGTGACCAGTCCAGGTGAGAAGTAGAGCCGACCAGAACTAGGGTGGTGAACTAGAAAGGGAGAGGTGAGTATAGAAGGCACTGTATAGGTAGAATCTGTAGAACTTGAATATTGAAGTAAGGCAGAAGGATGAGTCAGAGCTTTTAAGATTTTAAGGTTTGAGATTTTAAGCTCAGTTGACAAGGAGAATGGGGTACCAGTTACTGAAATAGGAGAGTCAGGAGGAAAAACTGGCTTGGGAGAAAGATAATGAGCTCAGATTTAGAGATGATGAGTTTGGAGAGTCAGTGAGAAGACTGGATGGATATGTCCAACATGTACTTAAAAAGTATGTCAGAGGTTCTTGAGGGCTGGAGTATTTCCTGGAATAGAAAGCAAATGGCCAAACTGCTGGCCCCCTTGTATTAGTGAATTTCCTAATTCCAGGCCTGTGAACCTGGTACCTAGCATAACTATTTGAGTTAGAGCAAGTTACTTTCCTAAAAGTATTGTAATATTACAGGAGGCTTATGGTTTATGAGAAGAATAAATCTGTGAACTATTGTAAGAGGCAATGCAGTAGAAGAGCCTGTTGTTTCACTCATTGACCTTTGCTGTTCTCTTGGTAGAGAGATGGAGGAAAGAGTCACGCTGCTGAATGCACCAACAAAGAGGCCAAGGTAACGTGCAAGAAACTCTAGTTAGTTTTTCCTAGGTTAACACCGGGGTTCTTTCTTGAGTCTATGCATTGTTTGATCCCGGTAGCCTGTGGCATCCCTTTAGGAGTCAGTATCTACTTACACATCAGATCATCATTTCTGGGAAGAAGAAGGCTATCATTTCACTCTGACCCAAAAGTGGACATCATTACCACCCTGAATTTAAAAAGTGTAGGTGTAAGGGTCAGACTGGAACCTGATCTGGGCCTGTGATGAAGCCCTGAGGCAGGGATTGCAAAGCCTGCTATGATGGAGGGTTTTGAAGTAAGTTGTAGGAGAAGAACATACTTTCTCATACCATAATTGGCAGTTCTTCTCAGGGAATAGACTGGAAGCATTTTTCTCTGATTTGGTTTTTATGTTAAATGTGCCTTTGTGTTGGGGGTTGTTGGCAGGTCAAGCACGGTGACTGAAGCACCCATTGCTGTGGTAACATCGAGAACCAGTGAAGTCTATGTTTGGGGAGGTGGAAAATCCACTCCTCAGAAACTGGACGTCATCAAGAGTGGCTGTAGTGCCCGGCAGGTGTGTGCAGGGAATACCCACTTTGCCGTGGTCACAGTGGAGAAGGAACTGTACACCTGGGTGGTAAGTGAGAGCTAAGTGCTTTGGATCAGTGTGATAAGCCTCATTGTAGGCTGGGCCCAGGGGGTCTGAGCGTATGTTAGTTGGATGTGTGCTGGGAGAGTAGCAGCATGGGGTGATGGGATGTAAGCTCTTATGAGAGCAGGGATTTTGTCTGTTTAGGTTGCTGATACACATATTAAAAAAAAAAAAAACACTGCTGTTGAATTAATTCTGACTCATAGCGACCCTATAGGACACAGTAGAAGTGCCCCATAGGCTTTTTTATGGAAACAGACTACCTCATCTTTCTCCCACAGAGTGGCTTGTGGGTTCAACCTTTTGGTTAGCAGCCGAGTATTTTAACCACTGTGCCCCCAGAGCTCCTCATATTATGGCCCCTGTAAGTATATTTCAGAGCAGCCTTGGTGGGGGAAGTTGCATGAGGTGAAGTCCAGAGGAGAGCAAGCTCCGGCTTCCAAGAGTCCTCTCCCAGGGGAGTCACACAGAAGGCGTATGCTTAGTTATTCCAGCAATGAGTTTTGACAGTGTGTGAAATGTTGCCTATCAGGAAGTTCGTTAGCAGCTGTGCTCAGGGTATTTATTGGGTGTTGATAACATAGGCACCCCTACCTAGCAAGTACCAGCATCCCAGACTCCCAGCAGGAACGCAGGTATTCAGCATATACCATATCATTTGCACAATAGTTTGGGTACAGTGAGCCACTCTTCCAGGGAGTGGTGGAAACCTGGCTGAAATCTTAGTTCATAGACCCAGGCAAGGGTCGGCCTTACAAGCAGGACATTTTTAGCATAGCAGTCTCAAGCCTATGTTCACTCTTCTATACAACATGCTGGTTCCCTAATCTACTATCTACTAGTCTCCTCAACTGTTGTAAACTTCCCCATTCACTGCAGACCTCTGACCTTCCCCTCACTTCCTCCTTTCCTTTTAGCAGTTGGCCTTACTCTTTTCTTTATCTTAAAATGGATACCATTAAAGTGAGCTCCTTTAATTTTGTACCGCTGAGCCTGTATCCAAAGTCCTGATGGCACAGTGGTTAAAGTGCTTGGCCACTAACCAGAAGGTTGGTGGTTGGAACCCACCAGCTGCTGCATAGGAGAAAGATGAGGTAGTCTGCGTCCATAAAGAATAACAGCCTTGGAAACCCTATGGGGCAGTTCTACTCTGCCATATAGCATTGCTATGTGTCAGAATCAACTCTAAGGCAATGAGTTGGAACCTATATCCACACATACCTTTTCTTTGTTTTTCCTTTTCTTTTTAGGACTGACCTCGCCCCCAGGGGTCTTTGGAGACCTCACTTCAATTCTACCCTCTCCCTCTATTCTCTGCCTTTATTTCTTTCTACTAGCTCATTTCCTTTTGCATTTAAACCTACTTAAGCATCTGTCTTCTTTTCTTCTTTCTTTTGTGATTTGGGTAAAAGTTTACGGAGCAAGTTCATTTCAGTCCTCTCACTGCTTAAAGAAACTTCCCTCAACCTTTTGTCCCACTCTAGATTCCACTCAAGCAGCTTCCATCCCTGCCATTCCATTGAAACTGATTTTAACCAATGACTTATAAATTGCTAAAATAAAAGATGATTTTTAGTCCTTACTTTGCCTGATCTCTCAGCAGCATTTGGCACGGATGACCACTTTCTTGGAGGTTTTGTCTTCCTTGGCTTCCTTGACAGTAGATTTACTTGGCTTTTCTCCTGTCTCTCTGGCTGTGCCTTGTCAGGCTCGTTCCTCTCTATCTATGACCTTGTTTTAGGCCCATATTTCTTCTCACTCCTCCTCTCTCTGAGAGCGCTCCTTTTGTCCTATGGATTCAATTACCTTCTTAAGGGCCAGACTCTGTTTGTTTTATTCAGTGCTTTATCACCAGTGCGGAGCAGAGTGGACATTCACCTGTTTATAGAATGAATGAATGAATGGCTCAGCCTGTGTTGTAGAATCTTGATTTGCTATTATTTCTAAACTCTCTTCCTTAAAGAACTAGCCCCTAGCGGTGGGCTACCAGAAGTGCAGTGAAATTAATGCCTTAAAAACATTTCTGTAAAGACTTAAGAGTGGAGTCATTGAGTGGAAAGAATGCCTTCTCACTGTAGAATTGTTTGAACCTCATTTAAAACTGTTACCAGTGCTGTGCAGCAGCCTCTTTGATATTATAGCCGGATTCTTTATAACGTCCATGTTTCAAGGAAACTGGCCAAAGTTTGTAAAATCTCTAATAAGAATTTTCAAGAGGCTCCACTCCTGTAGAAAGCAATCAAATTAGACTCTATAAAGAATTTTTCAGCATTGCCCATATTTAAATATATAGTTTACCTTGAACTTGAGGGAGGTTAAAAAAAAGAAGTTGGGAATGTGCCCTTTTAAGGCCTGATAGAGATCAATCTGGATATACTTTTTAAACCTTCTTCACCTGTTGGTAAGTGGGTTATACCACTAAAAATTTAATCCTCTTACCATTTTTTCCTAATTTTTAAACTTCCAGCTGATTTTTTCATTATAGATAGTCCCCACTTTTTGAAAGTTCACTTGTTTTGGTTACCTACTACTGCTCTGACAGGAATATACCACAAATGAACAGACGAGTTTATTCTCTTACAGTTTGGAGGCTTTAAGTGTGAGTTCAAAGTACCAGGTTCTAGGGGCTGGGTGAAAGCCCCTCAACCTTGGGCTTCAGTTCTATTTCCTGCTCCCGGCCCACCGAGGCTAGAGACTTTTCTTCACTCAAAAAGCTACTAGCTGCTGAGGCTGACAAGCTCAAGGTTGACAAGTAAAAAGGCACAGTCCCGATGTTACCAAACTACAAGGCAGGCTATTAATTCAAGTCCATTGAAAGTCCCAAGGTCAGCAGAGCATAGTACGCTGCTGAACAATGACACAGCTACATTCAGGGTTCAAGCACACCATAAGCTAGAGACCGTTCCCCAAGGCTTTTCCTTATATATAGGAAGCAGACCACATCTCTAAGGCTGCTCACAGTAGATTCCACCACGGAGTTGACTGCCATCTTCCGTCTGCCATCCTCATCATGGGGAATACTACATCCAGCTGCCCAGCCACTCAGTCAGGCCCAGCCAGCTAGACACACAAACTGAACTACCACGTCACTTTACACCACTTTGCCTTTACAAAAGGCCTACATTAGCACTTGTTTTCATTAATTGAAAGAAATCCAAAGAGAATCTTTTGCTTTTACAAATAAAGGTGTAAAGTGAAACTTGTTGTTGTTATTTGCCGTCGAGTCAGCCCCGACTCATAGCGACCCCTCCTTGGGTTTCCGAGGCAGTATCACTACGGAAGTAGGATTGCCCAACCTTCCTTCCG